AGAGAGAGAGAGAGAGAGAGAGAGAGAGAGAGAGAGAGAGAGAGAGAATATGTCGTTACAGCACTGGTTGATATTTCATCCACCATCAAGCTCCACTCTTTGGGTCTTTCTCCATCTATCAATTCTATATCTATTTCTCTCCTTTATGAGAACTCTCCACTCATAGAAGAAAATATTTATAGTTCAGAGTTGAACTATGGAATCATCCTTGGGGTTCTCTGAGCTTGGTGGTTTTCTTATAGACATTTTAATTTCCAAACTAGAGAACACCATCAATGTACTATAGATGTTTCATTACCAAAGTAGGTACATCATCAACGCAGCACTGGCAATGAAACATCTGCAAGAAAAAAAAAACCCAACAACCCCTCCAATCTCAGAGGCACCAAGGACCCCACAACTCTCTACTCCTTGTAGACAGTGAGAGAGATGATTTTGACGGAAATATGCAATAACCGTTCTTTAGGCAAAGGAAGATGAAACATTCTTTTAAGACCTAGGAAGCAAAATAATGTTTGGAGTCTTTTTCAAAAGGCAACTGGATGGCTTTGTTTTTCCTTGAAGACATTTCGCTCCTCATCGGAGAAACTTCTTAAGAACTCAAGAAGCTTTGAAAAAACTGAAAAACTGGGGGGAAAAAAACCACCTCGGGGACAACTATGATTTGGATGACTGACAGCCTCAATAATCCATCAGAATAGAGTTGAATGGGACTTTGGAGGTCTTCTAGTCCAACCCCCTGCTCAAGCAGGAGACCCTATGCCATTTCAGATGGGTAGCTGTCTAGTCTTTTCTTAAAAACCTCCACTGATGAAGCACCTACAACTTCTGAAGGCAAGCTGTTCCACTGGTTAATTGTCCTCATCGTTAGGACGTTTCTCCTTAATTCCAGGTTGCTTCTCTCCTTGATGAGTTTCCATCCATTGTTTCTTCTCTTGCCTTCTGGTGCTTTGGAAAATAAGTTGACTCCGGAGGTGATATTCAGCAGGTTCTGGTAGCGGACATTTTGAGTAGTTCAGAGAACCGGCAAATCCCACCTCTGACTGGCCCCGCCCCCATCTATTCTCTGTCTCCCGAGTCCCAGCTGATCAGCTGGGTCTTCTTGTGTTGCCGTGCACGGGAGAACGGAGCTGGAAAGCAGGTTAGGGGGGTGGGGAGGGAATGGGATTTTGCAGTATCCTTCCCCTGCCACGCCCACCAAGCCACACCCACAGAACCGGGAGTAAAAAAAAATTGAATCCCACCATTGATGACTCCCTCTTCTTTGTGGTAGCCCCTCAAATACAGGAACGCTGCTATCTCCATAGACATAACATTTGGAGGTTATTCAGATAAAAATCTCCCCAGTTCTGTAGGAAGTTGGCACCCACCCCTCTCCTAGAAAAATGAAATATCCTAGGAAATATTTAAAAAGCAGAATATTTCCCCTAAAAAGAGTAGAAACTCAGAAACAGAAACTCAACTCAGAAGCAGAAGCTCACCCCCACCTCTGTTAATGGGTGGGCCATTAAGGCCTGGGCCAGAATACTTTACATAACAAAGATCTCCAGGTAAAGCTACAGCAATTGCTCAAAAGCCCTTACAGTACATCATCATCCAGCAAGGCTCAACCAAGCCTGGAACTCAGGACAGCCTACAGAGTTGCCCCTGCATGGCCCCATGGGAGTCTGACAACCAATCAGAATACAAGCTCCAGTTCAAATCCCAACAAAGGTTATAAAACCCAGGCACTCTCAGCACCTCAGCCCTTTCTTGATCTCTTCCTTCGCCTTGAATCATGTGATCAACCTTCCTTTTCACTCTGGAGCTTCAAGCCATGTGGTCCTGCTGTCCACCATTAAACCACCTTCCAAACCGCCTCCGTGTTTCCAGTGTCTTTTTCCCCACTTGGAACTGAACCCAGAAGGATATTTTCTTCCAACAGTTCACTGCGATATAAGAGAGATGGGAGGTTCAGCCCCATCAGTTTTGCAAGATTCTATTATTGTAGCCAGCCTACTTCCCTAAAATACAGTTCTGGTCTTCCTAGGGAGTTGCTTTTCTGGTTTGGTCTACCTTGTAGAGCTGACACTCCTTTTCAGAATGATCCCAACCAAACAGGAACCAAGTGGAGTAGGCATTGGCTACCAGGCCCAATGCCTCTGATTTGACTTTATTGCTGACATTTTTCAAAACAAACAAAGGCAGCTGTGAGTGAGTGAAGGTCAAACTGCCAAGACTCTTAACTAGCCTTTTCTTCCTGAAGAGAAGAATACTACCATTCTTTTATTGTGATTTTTAGGCAATTTATGAACAAGATTTGTCTGAGGTGAAAGAATTACCCCGAGGGCATGATCCAAAGTATGTCTCACCATTTGAAACCATCAGAGAAATCAATACTTTCCCTTCAAGGCAGTGAAACTAACTGGTGTTTTCCCACAGTCTACTATTGTACCAGGCCATTTACTTCAACAATGAAAGACAATAGAGGACATTCAGGAGCCTCTACCCTTGCCAAAAGGTCCAAAAAGGCCCTGAAGGTGAGAGATAAAGTTATGTCTGGGAAAGTAAGTCGTCTCATTGATGGTTGCTATGTAACTTACAGAAGAAATTAATACTGCTTCAGGACAAGAAGAAAGGAAGGAACTAGGAGGGAGGGAAGGAAGGAAGGAAAGAAATGATAGGAAAGAAAAGATAGGAAGGAAGGAAGGAAGGAATGAAGGAAGGAAGGAAGGAAGGAAGGAAGGAAGGAAGGAAGGAAGGAAGGAAGGAAATGGGAAGAGGAGAGGGAGGAAAGAAAAGAAAGAGGGAAGGAGGGAGGAAGGAAAGGAGGAAATTGGAGGAAGGAAATTGGAGGGAGGGAAGAAAGGAGGGAAGGAAATGGGAAGGAAGGAAATGGGAAGAAGGGAGGGAGGAATGGAAAGGAGTAGGGAGGGATGGCGGAAGGGAGGAAATTGGAGGAAGAAAAGAAATGGAAGGAAGGAAGGAAGGAAGGAAGGAAGGAAGGAAGGAAGGAAGGAAGGAAGGAAGGAAGGAAGGAAGGAAGGAAGGAAGGAAGGAAGGAAGGGATTTTCAATGAACTTTCTTATACAGGTAGACATTAAGTTACGACCACAATTGAGCCTAGCATTTCTGTTGCCAAATAAGGCATCTATTAAGTGAGATCTGCTCCATTTTACCATCTTTTTTGCCCCATTTGTCAAGTGAATCATTGCCATTCTTAAGTCAGTAACCTGGTTGTTAAGAGAATCTGGCTACCCACTGACTTTGCTTATCAGAAGGTCGTCTGATCCCATGACCCGAGGACACTGCAACCGTCATAAATATGAGTCAGTTGTCAAGCTTCCACATTTTGATTACGGGACCACAGGGATGCTGCCATGGTCATAAGTGTGAAAAACGGTCATAAGTCACTTTTTTCAGTGCCACTGTAAATAGGAATGATCAATAAGCAAACTGTTGTACATCCAAGATGATCTGTATTTGTTAAAGAAGTTTTGTTTTGTTTTGGGAAGCGGTTTTTTTTGCTTGAGAATTTTTCTTCTCCAAATGTGTGGCTGAGGCTCAGAACAATGAAAAAAAAATGGGTAAACTAAACATTAAATAGCCTTCCTGCAGTGCTCAATGGATGGAAACTAATCAAGGAGAGAAGCAACTTGGAATTAAGGAGAAACTTCCTAACTATGAGCACAACCAACCAGTGGAACAGCTCGTCTTCAGAAATCGTGGGTGTTCCATCACTGGAGGTTTTTAAGAAGAGACTGGGCAGTCACTTGTCACTGAGATGGTATAGGTTCTCCTGCTTGAGCAAGGGGCTAGACTAGAAGACCTCCACGGTCCCTTCCAGCTCTATTCTATGTCAGCCTTGGAAACCATATTTTACTTGAAAGCTTCCAGGCTGCCATATTTAGTCCCTGGGAATTTGGGAGGGGGGATTTCATAGACGATTAACAGCATTCGTTCTCAGAAGTCAAGGACAAGTTACCCGGAGTGAATAAAGGGATGTCTCCATTTTGGACAACGTTTGATTGGGTCATGTGATGGACTGATGAGTGCAAGGGGATGGATCTTTGGATTTCTTTGGGGAAGGGAAAATCCGGAACTCTCAGATTCGGGTTTTCCCGGATGTGCCAGTATGACAGCTGTAATAAAATGGAACTTTGAGGAAATGCTTGTCTCGGAGTTTATTGGGTTGGAGTTGGTTTGTTGGAATCCTGACATTCTGTTCTATTATTTCCTACATGTGAAAAATTGAGGAGGTTGTTCAACTGGATAGGATAACGTTATGCTTGATATATAAAAATTGAAATTATCAAAAGAAACCATCTACTCCCGATGTTCAGTGATTGAAGGGGAACCGGGAGCCCTTGGGGGTGTGGGGGGGGGGGGGAGGAAGTGGCAATTGTTTTGTTAATATGAGTGTCTTTGATCAACAACACTGAGCTGTAATTATGGGAAAACAATCAAATCTCTATGTGGACTTTGTGAAGGACTCGTCTGACCACTTCTTTGTATTATAGCAAGACTGGTTTGGCAGCTTCAGCTCCAGTGAATCTCCTTTCAGCTGCTGGGTTAAAGAAATGCAAACTGGAAGAGCAGGTTGGACCGAAATGCGAAAAAGAAAAAAAAATATGGCTTATTGTCTGCGCAGATTTACCCACACTTCTCCTTCTTACTATCTCTGCCGCATTTCCTAGCATGACTTCAAAGAGGGAGAAAGCTGCACAAATCCAGGAGGGAGAAGCAAAAGAAACTGAGAAAAACTGAGGAGAAAAAAAAAGAGAGAGAAGAAGGGACGAGAGAGAAGATTGGGGAAAGGATGCACCCATTTGATGTGAGTCTTGTTACTGGTTTAAGGATGAATTTTTACCCTGGTTGCTTCCGGTATTGAACAGGGATTGTCTTTAGCATATGGTTGGTAGAGAAGGAGTTTTGGGGACCTTATTGTGAAAATGTAAACTTGTGTGTGTGTGTGTGTGTGATGTGTGTATCCTGGGAGGCAGTTTCTTGAAATGAGAACTACTACTTTTTTTTTTTTCATATTCAGAAGTTTGGGGAGATACTTGTATGCCATAACTTGCGAGCACTTTTATAGGAGCCATTTAGAAAGCTTTGAACCAGGTCCAGTTTGACTAATAAGCATTGGCTGGAATGATGAATGGTTATCGATGGTCTGGCTGAAAACAATGGAGGGGAACTAATCCAGGAGATTAGGGTTAGGGTTAAGGAAGCAACCTGGAATTAAGGAGAAACTTCCTATCAGTAAGAGTAATTAACCCGAGGAACAGCTCGATGAAACCTCGGGTGCTTCATCGCTGGAGGTTTTTAAGAAGAGACTGGACAGCCATCTTTCTGAAATGGTGCAAGGACTCCTGCTTGAGCAAGGGGTTGGACTAGAAGACCTCTGAGGTCCCTTCCAGCTCTATTCCCGTTGATAAAAGCTGTGCATAGGGTGAGCTAAGCAGCCACCTATCTAGGGTTGTCTTCTCAATGTATTTGCAGGGTCGACATCTTTCCTGAATGTCCCACTACGAACCTCAAATGAAAGCATCGTTTTGCCATATTCTACCAGTCCTCCACGTGTGCCGGAAGACCACCAAGGCTTTCTATTCTCTTAGAAAGTAGATTAGGGGAAATAAAAGCACCTGACTTTGAATAATAAGTTGATTCTCAGAACAATACAATTTGGGGGTCAAAATTAATATATAGCACCATGGGCTCTGGGGTTGTATGCAAACAGGTTGGAGTTTTCAAACTTAGTATTTGTGCCGCGTAGCAAGATCGCTCTTAAGTTTGATTGTGCATCTTGGTGATTTTATGGGTTTGCATTTCAAACCCCAGGGAGTGAACTAATTCAGCAGACAGATTGTGTTGTATAAATGCAATGGAGGTAGTCCTCGATTTACGACTGCAATAGAGCCCCAAATTTATGTTGCTATTTGTTAAGTGAATTTTGCCCCATTTTACGACCTTGCTTGCCGCCGTTGTTAAGTGAATCGCTGCAGTTGTTACATTAGTGACACGGTTGTTAAGCGAATCTAGCTTTCCCTGTTGACTTTGCTAGCCAGAAAGGGATCACATGACCCAGGAAGCCTGCAACCATTAAAAGTACGAGTCAGTTGCCAAGCGTCTAAATTTTGATAGGGATGCTGCAATGGTTGATCGTAAGTGTGAAAAAATGGTCACAACTCTTTTTTTTTTCAGTGCCATTGTAACTTTGAACGGTCACTAAATGAATGGTTGAAATGAAGTGGAGGACTACATGTAGCCTTTTATTTGGGTAAACCCATGGACCCAAGTTCTGTCCTTTAGATTGAAGGTAATGGAATAAGAGAGTTGGATGGGACCTTGGAGGTCTTCTAGTCCAACCCCCTGTTCAAGCAGGTGACCCTATGCCATTTCAGACAAACGGAGCACCCACAACTTCTAGAGGCAATGAGTTCCACTCATTCATTGTTCTCATTGTCAGGAAATGTCCTCTTGGGTTGGTTCTCGCCTTGATTAGTTTCTGTCCAATGCATTTCCAGTGCAAGTGTCTGCATTGTACCAGCTTCCTTACTAGGGTGGCATGGGAACTCCAATAAGTACATTTGTCAGATGTCAGATTAAGGGAAACCGAGATGTAGGAATGTCTTCAGTCATGGGCCAAAAAGCTCAAAACATTGGCCATTAAGGTATCACTGAAGCTCTGGCCATTTTTACATACATCATGGGTGATGCCTAAACCAAACTAGGTAGAGCTTTGGTCATAGTCGAGTGGAGAGAAGGACCAAGGGAGACATGATAGCAGTGTTCCAATATTTGAGGGGCTGCCACAGAGAGGAAGATGTCAAGCTATTTTCCAAAGGCCCGGGATAATGTATGGAAACTGATCCAGGAGAGATTCAACCTAGATATAAGGAGAAATTTTCTTTCAGTGAGAACAATCAACCAATGGAACAGAAGTTGCCTTCAGAAGTTGTGGGAGCTTGATCCCTGGAAGCTTTCAAGAAGAGATTGGATATTGATGTATGGTTGTAGAGGGCAACCTTAGCAACTTTAAGACTTGTGGACTTCAACTCCTGGAATTCTGGGAGTTGAAGTCCACATACCTTAAAGTAGCCAAAGTTGAGAAGCACTGTTCTAAGGAATTAAGTCAGGGCTCTCCAAACTTGACAGCTTTAAGACTTGTGGACTTCCTCTTCCAGTCATGTTAGCTCAGGAATTCTGGGAGTTGAAGTCCACAAGTCCTAAAGCTGTCAAGTTTGAAGACCCTTGGTGTAGGGTCTCCTACTTGGGTGGCAGGTTGGACTAGATGGCCTACAAGGTCCCTTCTAACTCTATTAATCTAATCTAATCTAAATATCCCATAGTCATCATCTTGACTTTCCTTAATCACATTCTCTGGATACCCCTTCTTGGATGACTGCTGCAAAACTATGACATCCATCTGAAATTATCAGAATAGGGAATTCAGAGAGATTCCAGACAATATTCCTTTCACTGGTGATGACACTAATAGCTAAATGGCACATAAGCCTGCTATTTCTTCATCTTTAGGGAAGATAAAGAGTGCATTAATAGGAACAATCTCTTTAGCCCCGCTCAAGGCAAACTTGTTGCGCTGACTTTTGCAGTTTTTATTTGTTCAGTGACCATCCACAGACAGTCATCCTATAATGCAAATCAGGGGGTCCTTGGTGCTCTCTGAGCTTGGTGGCTTTTCTTGCAGATGTTTCATTACCAAGCTACGAATTGATGATGTTACCTAGTTTGGTAATGGAGCATCTGCAAGAAAACCCACCAGGTTCAGAGAGCACCAAGGACCCCCCTCATTTCAACTCTGAGCTGCAAATATTTTCCTTTATTGGTATATAATGCAAAAAGAAGGGTTCCTTATGATTGCTACATGGATTGGACACTAGCACAACTGATGAGTTGCTGGTCCCAGTGCCGGGATGAGGAGTCAGCTGGTAGC